AGAAACATCGTTAAGTGAAGCAGGGGACCTAAAATCGCATTCGTTATGCGAAGCATGGTCCCAAACTTCGCTAAGCGAAAATCGCCCGTAGGAAACATCGTTATACGGTGCATATTATTTTCTAAAAAAACACATCGTTATGCAAATTCATCGCTAAACGAGGCAATCGTTAAGCGAGGCACCACTGTATATTTTAATGCATGAAATACATGAAATATACTTTATTTCTGTATAGGCTAGGCAAATCTTTAAATGCTCTAAAAGTAAGTTTAGTTCTCTGATTGCAAGTTTCTGACGTGGCTTAGGAAGTCCTAGATAAATATACTTATTGGTTTGCTACTTGACTGCCTATCACCCTTCCTCCAGCTCTCTTCTGTAGGGCATCACTCTCCATGTGTAGAAGATGAGAAGAGTGAGAAAAGGGAGCACAACTAGATTGCCTTTCCCCAGTCCCTTCCTTCTTCATGGCGTTTACCTGTGAGGAACATACTTCAACAGGGGTGTTATTTTTTTTGCCTAATATCATTCCTGTTCCACTGACTAGTAGGTAGGCCAGCTGAAATGTAGGAACTGCACACTAGTTTCAGACTTACTTTAAAAAAACAACAACGTTGTAATCAGGATTTTATGCTTCCATCTTGAATTCTTTGATTAGAATTTCAGGCTGCCAAAGGACAAGACAGGTACAACCAAGATTGGAGCCCTTGCACCACAAGACATGAAGAAAATCCATGTCTTGGCACTGATAGAACTGACTGCTCTCTTTGATATACTTGGAACAGAACTTAAGCCACAAAAAGCAATAAAAATTAAAATGAAAGGTGAGTTGCTTTTATTTTCAATGACAGTGGGTATGGATGGTTGTTATAAAAGGTATGGAGTATTTCTATGCCAGTAACTACTGTGTAGGCAGGTTTATAGGATGGGAAGTGCTTGTTGTTAAGTGCAGAGTCTTTAGTTATGTGCTGTCAAGTTGGAACTGATTTCGTTATAAAAGGTATGGAGTATTTCTATGCTAGTAACTACTGTATAGGCAGGTTTCTAGGATGGGAAATGCTTGTTGTTAAGTGCAGAGTCTTTACTTATGTGCTGTCAAGTCGGAACTGATTTATATTGATGACCCCAAGGTAATTGGGGGATTCAAGGTAAGTGAGATATTTAACTAGTTCCACCACCACCCCACCCACCCCCAGTGAACGTTCATAGCCAGGCAGGGCTTGAAACTCTGGTTTCTGGAGTCCTAGTCCATGACTATGCCCACCACACTGAATACCTCCACAGTCTTAAGTGTGCTTAAATCTCTTTCATTAAATTAAGAGTAATGTGCATTAACCTAGGTCTGCTTAGTTCATGCCATATAACAGATAAGACAGCACTATGCAAGGAGAAGGGGAAAGTGTTATAGAGAAACTTCACCCAGGGTGGGGGGGCAATATATTTCCTTAAAAATTTCTCTGGACATAAGATTTCTCCTTGCTGTTTGCCTCTAGGCCAGTGATAGCACTTATTTATATTATTGTGTGTTGTAACGTTGATTCTGATTTATATACAACTCCCAGGGTTTCTTAGGGTTTCTTGCGCACGCACACACCCACATCCCAAACTCTGTAAAGCATCCAGATTTCCCGAGGCAGCACTGGGGCAGGGCATGTAACTTCATCAGCCACAGAAGCTTTTGGATGATATTTGGTGGCTCATCTTCTGTCAGTGGGAATTTGAATTTCTGTAACCTGGCTCCATGGAACTTTACCTCTTCTAATGTATCTGCTTATGATCTCATATTCCCAGATTCCCAAATAATATGATATGGCCTGCTTATAATCTGATTCATTCATGTAATTGCAGTTAATCTATTTAGTTAGTTTGTCTTTTACATTTGCATCCCCTCCATCCTTCAAAAAAAAAACACACACACATTTTTGTGCTTTCTTTAAAACAATTTTTTTTGTCTTGAAAAGCTTAGAGCTCTGAGTTTTTCTTGACCATAGCTGATTTTACTTTGTGGAAAAGCCCTGTATAGTGGTTATGATCCTTAGGTAGGGATGAAATTACTGTTTAAAGAAGACTGCTTGGTGAAGTCTCTCATCTTATGTATGTTGTGTAACAGAGTAAATGCCGTGTCATTGCATTCTAGGCCTCTATTTTTTTTTAAAGACTAAGTTTGTGAAGTTCAGTTTTTATTTTTGTATGCCATTTTGTTCCAGTTCCGAGACAGTGGGTGAACATTTTATTTTTATTTTGTTTTGTGAGATGGCACCACTATTTCTAGTATAGTTTATTTTCAAAGCATATAATTTAGTCCAAATGCATTTACTGGTGGACATTTAGTGCACTTTTCCATTTGTGCATGTTTCAATGAACCAAAAATATACTATGTTTAAAAAACACTCTCTTATGCATGTTTTCTACCTTTGTTTGGATTGGAATGTTGATATTCCACTTTCAATTAAGTTATTGCGTCTACTCTATGAGACGCATTACAATACCTTTTACACATTGATGTGAAGTGTTCTTTCCATGTGCAAGAGGTGAGAGCACACTGCTTGGTGGGAGTAGCAGTAACTCAGCAGTAGAAGAAATGCTTTGTATGCAGAAGGTCGCATTTTTGATATCTGGAACCTGCAGGTACATCTAGAAAAGAATTGTGCCTGGAGAGCTGCTGTTAGATAAGATCAATAGAATTCGCCAAATACAGTACACCAAAAATCTGGCTTGGTATGAGGATTTTCCTGTGAACTCTGACATCCAAGGTGCACAGGTTTCTCTTATGCAGACATACACACTTCATGTGTTAGGGGCCAAGCTAGAGTTGCTCTTTATATGAGGAGGCCAGTGGAAGAATTTCTTGTGTATATGGCTGTAATCATGTGATTCCTGGGGAAATGATCTGAGGGCCATGTCTGAGAGATGACAGAACTCACTGCATTGCTCTTCACCAGTTGCTGTGAAAATGTCCATGGGGGTTCCTTTCCGGTGTTGGACCTCTTAATGTTGAAAGAGGGGTAAAGGAGAAATACTGGGGATAATACGGAGAGGCATGATGGACAGACTTCAAGAACTACAAGTCTCCTGACTCCTGAACGTCCTTCCAAACTGGATTGCTATCTGTTCCCAGCCATGGAGCTGGGATAGACAAATTCCCTCCAGTCGTTACCGGAACAATTTTGGTCAATAAAAGAAAAAGAAGAATGGCCCTAGGGAAGGAAAGAAGACAGAAACTTCCTTTCCCCCTTCCTCACTTCTGTCTGGCAAACTTCGGATTGTCAGAATCTGTGATGCCCGGAGCCCCAATGAAAAATCAGAGAATTATGCATTTTGCATTTTGTTGTTTTTTAGTCATTAAGTCATGTTTGACTCTTAGTGACCCCATGGACCAGAGCACGCCAGGCCCTCCTGTCTTCCACTGCTTCCCAGAGTTGGGTCAAATTCATGTTGGTCGCTTCGATGATGCTGTCCAACCATCTCATCCTCTGTCATCCCTTTCTCCTCCTGCCTTCACACTTTCCAAACATCAGTGTCTTTTCCAGGGAGTCTTCTCCTCTCTTGAGATGGCCAAAATATTGGAGCCTCAGCTTCAGGAGCTGTCCTTCCAGTGAGCACTGAGGGTTGATTTCCCACAAAATGGATATGTTTTTTCTCTTTGCAGTCCAAGGGACTCTCGAATGTCTCCTCCAGCACCACAATTCAAAAGCATCAATTCTTTGGCGGTCAGCCTTTTTTTTATGGGCCAGCTCCCACTTCCATACATCACTACAGGAAAAACCATAGCTTTGACTATGCAGACCACTTTTTAATATGCTGTCTAGGTTTGTCATCACTTTCCACCCACAAAGCAGGTGCTTTTTAATTTCATGGCTGCTGTCACCATCTGCAGTGATCATGGAGCCCAAGAAAGTCAAATCTGTCACTGCCTCCATATCTTCCCCTTCTATTTGCCAGGAGGTGATGGGACCAGTGGCCATGATCTTAGTTTTTTTGATGTTGAGCTTCAGACCATTTTTTGCGCTCTCATCTTTCACCCTCATTAAGAGGTTTTTTAAATCCTCCTCACTTTCTGCCATCAGAGTGGTATCATCTGCATATCTGAGGTTGTTGATATTTCTTCTGGCAGTCTTAATTCCGGTTTGGGATTAGTCCAGTCTAGCCTTTTGCATGATGTATTCTGCATATAAGTTAACTAAGCAGGGAGACAATACACAGCCTTGTCATACTCCTTTCCCAATTTTGAACCAATCAGTATCCAATTCTAACTGTTGCTTCCTGTCCCACATAGAGATTTCTCAGGAGATAGATAGGGTGGTCAGGCACTCCCATTTCTTTAAGGACTTGCCATAGTTTGCTGTGGTCCACACAGTCAAAGGCTTTTGCATAGTCAATGAAGCAGAAGTAGATGTTTTTCTGGAACTCTCTGGCTTTCTCCATAATCCAGCGCATGTTAGCAATTTGGTCTCTAGTTCCTCTGCCCCTTCGAAATCCAGCTTGTACTTCTGGGAGTTCTCGGTCCACATACTGCTGAAGCCTACCTTGCAGGATTTTGAACATAACCTTGCTAGTGTGTGAAATGAATGCAATTGTGAAATGAGTGCAATTGCCCTTCTGTGTGATTGAGATGTAGACTGATCTTTTCCAGTCCTGTGGCCACTGCTGGGTTTTCCAAACTTGCTGGCATATTGAATGTAGCACCTTAACAGCGTCTTTTAAGATTTTAAATAGTTCCACTGGAATGCCATCACCTCCACTGGCCTTGTTGTTAGCCATGCTTTCTAAGGCCCGCTTGACTTCACTCTCCAGGATGTCTGGCTCAATCCACACTATCTGGGTTGTCTGGACATCCAGATCTTTCTGGTATAAGAAATCATTTTGGTATAAGAAATTATTTCACATAAGCTGCAGAAAATACTGTACACAATCTTGTGTAATATGAGCATGGAGGCAGTAAAGAATTTCCACTTATGGTGACATTTGCATATATTACATATATTACTTTAAATTAGCATATACAGTTTCATGCAAAATGTCATTTTTTGCTGTCATCTATCATCCTTTTTGGTGATGGAGCAGTGCCCACACTTTGGAAATCTGTTTCACAGATATTTTAACTTTTAGATATTTATGGCTATAGCTGAAGAACTCTCTGTAAACATTAATTGTTTCACACTGAGTTGTGCAACTCTGTATGCAACAGATAACATCTACAGAGACTTCTTTACCGATGTCATTCAGTTTGTGTCTGAATGTTATAGTGTTTGTAAATGCACGGCAGGATTTCAGCCATTGAATATTTGTATAGTGTTAGATCACCCTGTAAGAGCAGTCCTTGTTAAATTAGTTAGCCTAAGAACATTTTATTTGCTTGTTAATTTTTGAAATAGGCGTTTTGTCCCCAGCTTATATTAATTTGAACTTCCTGCTGGCTTTGAACAATTAGAAGAGTAATGCAGGTCACAAATAAAATCAGTTTTAAAAATACAGTGCTAAATTAAACTTTAAATAGAATTTAGAAATGAACATCACTGTACAGAAAATGTTGAAATTTTGTTAGCCATCTGTATTTCTGATCTCTTCTAATGACTTGAAATATGGTACCAGTTAATCTTGGGCCAAAACTTGCAGTTAGGGTTCAGCAGAGATGACAATATAGGAGCTGAATAATTGAAAGCAACAGTGAATGATGAGAGAGATATTGCAGGGCACAGTTGAGTTCTCTGGAAGCAATTTTTATTCTACAACCAGAAAATAACTTGTTCCACTGCACAACGAGCTGTATAAGGTTTCTGGAACCTTCCCTCCTGCAGCACCTTCCATTTTCATATGTTTAAAAATGCCTCTACAGTTAAATCAGTGTACTCGAGTTATTCTGTATGGCTTTTTGAATTGGAGATACAGTACAACTTCCAGGTAGCTCTGTTTCCTTTTATCTCTTAAAGGAGCTACTCCTCTATGGATAATCTAGAGAAAATGATTTAGATCCAGACAGGGACGAAATTACTTCTCTCTCTCTCTCTCTCTCTCTTACTTCCAGGTAGCTCGGTTTCCTTTTATTTCTTAAAGGAGCTACTCCTCTATGGTAATCTAGAGAAAATGACTTAGATCCAGACAGGGACGAAATTACTTTCAACACACACACACACACAAGTTTCTTTTTTTAATCCAGTGTCTGCCTGGATCACTGCAACGATGCAGCACTTTGCAGTAATCCAGTAATGTGTGTGTCTGTGTGTGTTTTGTGAGGGGAGCTGTTGAGTTAATTATCTCCTTTTCTGTTGGTGGCAGAAGAGATGGGTGGCAGAAAAAGTGATTTCCCCAATTTGCAGGCCTCATATCCCAGGCCATTTTGAAGGCAGCCAGGGTGGGAAGGAGAGTGGCCACAGTTGCATACAACTTACATATAAAGCCCTTTATGATTTGGGACCCGAGTACTTGTCAGAGTGTCCAATAACATTGATCCATGCCACCAGATCTCCCCCCCCCCCCAGGCAATGCTCCTCCGAGTTGCCACACTGAGAGAGTCCAGGAAAACCTCTACTGGAATCCATGCCTCCTCAGTTGTGGCATCAGGCTTTGGAAGAGGCTTCTGACCAAACTGCACCTGGCCTCCCTCCCTGCCCACATTCATAACCTTGCTCAAGAAGTTGCTTTTTAGAGAGGTTTTTGAGAGCAACCTAACATGGTTCTGCCTTGCCTTGCTGCCCCATTTTAGGTTATTGCTGTGGCGCCCTTGTCTTGTCTTCTTTTAGCTGATTTGACTTGTTTTATTTATTTGATATAGTTGTCTTACTGTTTATTGTTGGATTCATTGATGGTTAACCATCCAGAGTAGTGCTTTACTCTAATGGGGCAGTATAAAAATGTGTGAAATAAAAAACAAACAAACAAACAAACTCATGGTGAATAATAAGAACACATAGGCCAAAGTCCAGTTGGGAAAACTGCGTACGCAAGTGATTTCCCCCTCTTCAGCTTAGTGTCTGTTCCACAAAGAATCAGGCACGGCCAGCTGGTAAAACAACCTATTTTACAATATAAATTTTTAAAGAAATGCTTTGGAAACCAGGGGCTCCGTTCAGGGCTTACCTTTGCATTGGATCAGGCGAGGCGTTCCCAAAGCATGCACCGCAGCACCTGCGGTGCCACCAAACCCAGCCAAGGGCATTGTGGAATCCTCTTCTGTGTTTCTTTGCCAAGCTGGCGGTGCTGGTGCTGCTTCTCTGGCTTTGGCCCCTTCATGTTCCTTCAACTCCATGTCTGCCTCTCATTGCCCCTACTGCTGCACCATTGCTGCCGCCACTCAAGGGAAGTCACAAGGCTTTAATTCGATTTCATCTGTGCCCAGTCTGATGCAAATTGGCCAGTGTCATTGCTGACTTAGCCAGAAGATTTATGTCAGTCATTTTACTTATTCAAGTGCAATTTCTGCAATTGTCCAGTTAAAAAAAAATTCAAGTCATATTATAACCAAGAGCCAAAGTAGAAATAATATTATCTTAGCCTCATGAGTTTTATAGCTGAGATTGCCCTCTTGAGCCGCAGTGCATATTTTACTCTTTAAGAGCAATACTGTTTTACATGTTTAGGGTGCCTGAAAACAATAATAGCCAATGAAAGCCAGGCAAATTACAGAAATATAAAAGAAATGCTTAAATCCTATTCCTTAATGGGATGGATCATGCCTTATTAATACTAAGTGGGAGAATAGCAAAAAAGAAATGATGCCTGTTGTTGTTAATATAGGTAATATACATTTACAGCTGTGGAGCATCTTAACTTTAATAGAATGTCACTGGATTCTATTACTTGTAGCTCTCCAGAAGCAGTGCTGCAACATTTTAAAAATATAAACATTGCCATGTTGTTTTTTGTACTATAGTGAAAGTGTATGACTGTGGGTGGAGAAAGAAGGAGCTATGCTTTTTGCTAGTTTCCATCTTTTGCTTATGCTGATTACAGAGCAATCTTAGCCACAGTTAGGGAGAAATAAGTCCCAACTGTATACAGTGGGCTTTTGTCCAAGGTAAGTGACCATAAGATTACAATGGATAAACTGCTGGTCTGTCTGAATTTATTAAGTAAGAGCTGTGAAGATGCTGATATGTTGGCAAAGACTGGCCGAACCCCTGTGGAAGAAATACAACATGTGTAAGGGCAATTGAGCATTCTACTAGCTCCTCTTTATGTGAGGGAACATGCCTGATTTTGTAGTGAGGTGCATAAAGGTGAAACTAGGGGAGAAGGGGATATGCTTACCCAGTTTTACCCTTACACAATCATGATTGCATTTGAAGATGTTTTTGTGTCACCATCGTAAGAGAATACTATCTTCCTTTGCTTTTTACAGAAACTGGTCTCTTTGGAGTTCCACTGTCAGTCTTGCTAGAACAAGATCAGAAGAGGGTGGCAGGTATCAGGGTACCCCTTCTCTTCAAAAAAGTGAGTATTGTGCCCAGTCTGCTTCTTTGACATCTCTTGGGCTTCAACATATTTCAATGTAAGCATGCCCTTTTGTGTTTCAAGCATGTAGTGGGCTTAAAGTGTAGCATTTAAATTTAGTTCAAGAGTGGGGAGGAGACGTTCATCTGTGCATTTAAAATATGTTTATTCCACCTTTTTGTTCAAAAGGTAGGTGTGAACCTCTAACCAATGTATAACTTAATATGGCATTCATGTTGTTTGTTCCATAAAGGACATTATGAAATGATAGCTCAAGATACATACCTAGAGTAAAAATGCAGCCTGCTCCTTTTTCCTTCCTGGTAATACTGGGTTAGAACCAACCTTGCCCTGGTACCTCAGTGCAACAGCATTTCCCCCTTTCCCTGTATGAATACATGCACTGGAGAGTTCCTCAACCTTCTGGAGCAGATTTTAGGATCACACAGGTGGGGGAAGATGGGCCCCACACCTCCCAGTTCCACTACCAGTAGCAATTCCATCAGCAAAGCAACCGTCTTGGGTCCTTTTGGGGAGAAAAAGGAGGGACAGAAATATTTTAAGCAAATAAACAAACTCATTGGGGTCCTGGTGTTTGTTGACAATGCTTTTTGCCCTTTATAAGAAGGTGGCCCATGAACACTCACAAAGGCCAGAGATACATGATTATTACCCCATTACCTGCTCTGTTACGTACTCTCTTACCCATTCTAAACGTAGAACTCCCAGACCTCTAGATTAAATGAGCAATGCCCCAGTTGCATCGGCTACCCTGAAAAGACAATTAAATTAGTACTTGTTACTTCGCTTCAGTAGTAGAGCACAGTACAAGGTGCAACTACATAGCAAGGGAAATGCAAATGCAGTCACATTATCTTACTGTGAAGTTGCTCCAGGGAAGTCTGATCTGTGGGATTTAAAGGCCACATAGAAAACAGGAGAAAGGCTCCCCACCCCTTTTTTCTTGAAGGTGTTACAAAAAAGTGCCTTAAAAGCAATAAAAGTTTCCAACCTCGATTTCCTCATCCAGTTATCTTTTTTAAAAAAACTGTCATCTACAGAGACAAGCTCCATTTCTAATTTGTAAAAGAAAAAGAAAATCTAGGACTCTTGCCCATGGAAGAGAGCTGTCAAAAAGAAGGTGGGGGGGAAGGAAGTATCTTAGAAAAGAGCCTTGACTCTCTCTGTATGTGTGCTATATCCATATTTTGAAAAGTGGAAGTCTTGGTGGAGGGGGAAAACTATGAATTTGGACAGGATTGGAGTCCAGGTTGATTCATATTTCCTGTTGTGTTGCATAATCAACAGGAAGAAAATGTGAATTGACTCTCCTGAAACCCAAGTATTTCCCATATTTTTTTGCTAATGTGGTTATCCCTTAAGTCTCCTGTAGACTTAGGGGAACATGAACCAGCTTTGAATTATAGTTAGCATAATAAATGAAACTGAATTATCATGCATACATAAGTAACTTTGATGGGAAATATTATTGGTGGAAACATGCAATGACTTGAAATGACTTCTGATGAAGGAAAAAAGGTGTAATAGCAGGATTGTACTGGGATATTAAGAAGATAAAAATAATGACTAGAGAAAAATGATATTATTTTAATTTTGACATAAAGAAATCAAAGATTTTCTGTACCTTGGTTCAGTAATTGATCCAAAGGGAGGTTGAAGTAAGAAGACTGAGATTTGGAAGTGCAGGTCTTGGGAAAAGGTCCTTAAGCTTAAGGATTTGTTGCTGGAGACCATTGCCAAAATCATCTAAGCTATTCCAGTTGCTATGTATAAATGGGAAATTGGGACAGTGAAGAAAACTGATAGGAATTTTTTTTTTATTTTTTTTTTTTTGCTATGTGGTTTATGGAGAGCTTTACAGGTATTGTGGAACAGCAGGAAGACAAATACTGGATCCTAGTCAAATCAAGCTTGAATTCTTACTAGAAGCTAAAATGAGCAAACTGATGCCATGCGCTAGACTTACTGTGGGAGGACAAGACGCATTGGAAAAGACATTAATGCCAGGAAAAGTGGAAGACCTAACAAAGTGAATTGCTTCAGTAAAAGAAACCACAGCCTTTAATTTGCATGATCTGGGCAGAGATGTTAATGACAGCATGTTACAGAGGCCATTATTTCACAAGGTTGCTTGTAAATGACAAGCAACTTGGCAGCACATAAAAACAGCAAAGCACACAAATACCATCCGTCTGTGGTTTATACACAACGGGATTACCTGCTCTCTTTACATAAAACATTTTATGTGAACCGTGAGTGGAGTGCATTTGTGCAGAAAGTTCCTTCTCATGTTTCATCTTGCGTAGCTATGATGCTTCATTTTAAGGCCTTGCCATCTTCCCGCACTTCCCTTTATGTAGGGTTTACAACCATGACCAGCAGCTTAATCTTAAAGGCCTCTGTTATTGTGGCAGTCTCCAGTCTGAGCAGGGAACCTCTGACACATGTAACTGAATTAAAATTCCTTAGGATGGCTAAGGATGATGGAGAATGGAGCCCTCTGCTATCTGGAGAGCCACAGGTTTCCCAGACCCGAGTATTCAGGAAGGCTTAGATACAGCAGCTTTCTGTATAAAATAAGAGAAGCATGTTGTGTTTTTCAGTGGTTATTGAAGAAACAAATTGTCACCCTTCCAGCTATAGCAGCATTTTATCTGCCACCTGTGAATCTGAGCTACTTTCTGTTTTAATTTGCAGCTCATTTCCCAGATAGAAGAGGGAAAACTGGAAACAGAAGGGCTTCTTCGAATACCAGGTGTTGCTGCACGAGTGAAGGTAAAATAAAGTCACAGCTCTGGGAAGATAATGCAGATTCTATTATAATCCTTTTTAAAAAATAAAAATGAAAGGTACTCGTTGGAAAGTTGAACACTAAAATTTTAAAGATAAAGATTTCTAAGATAATTTACCTAAACTCATTTTAAGTCATGCCTTGGATGATTGAACACTCTTTGCTTAAGTTGAGAGATAGAATGTGACAGAATGGGGGTTTACAGTATAGATTCTCATTTGTATAAACTTGCTATGTGTTCAGATTGGATTTGTTCACAACTGTATACATATATGTGGCAGAATAGATAGCCTTTCTTTGTGAATTGGAGAACAGATGACAGACTGTCCCTCTATTCCTCCTGTGTCTTGACCATTTGTTACTGTGACATTGTTCTCTGGATTGCGGTTTCTCACCTGAGTAAACAACCTTTTGCTGTTATTCTCTCCAGTGGCATTTACATGGCTGCTCCTTTCCTGAGAACTCATCATGCTCTTTTGTACTTCAGATCCAATGGGAACAATGTCCCTTTCTAATATGTCTGATAGAAGTGTGTATTCTAATGAACATATTGTGTTTGGGACAGACATGCACAGAGGCTATCTCTACGAGGTTATATGTAAGGCTACGGAAGCTATGCCCTTCACATTTCTCCATGCTGATCCGTAGTCTTTTTTGGTCAAATTGTAGTCACCATCTTTTAATTATCTGAAGCTCCATGGAATGGATTTGTCAGTAATATCTGCAATTTTTGGTTTTAACTGGCAGAGGCTCTCATAAAATGTTTTCCAACAAATGAAAGATGTTTTTATTCACAAGGCTAAATGCATGTTGTATACTGCATTTTGTTAATGAAAGTGAGGGGCATAAAAGAACTATTGTAAAATGAATATGCAGGCTGGATGTATATTTTGTATGAACATACACAGGAAATGCAAAATGTTATCTTTAACATCATCTGTGAAAATGCCCTGACACATATAGTAGCAGGCACTTTGTATAATTAAAGCTAGCACAATTTGTTAAGCTTCATGTGCTGTTTTTATCTTGAAAGGTTTGGATAACGATGGCTTTTAAAAAAATCTTTTCAAGAAACATGAAATATGATGGTTTTGTCTGCCTACAGTGACTGTTTTTCTGTTCTTGCATCTTTCAGAATCTTTGCCAAGAGCTAGAAGCAAAGTTTTACGAAGGGACTTTCAACTGGGAAAATGTAAAACAGCATGATGCAGCCAGTCTTCTGAAGCTCTTTATTCGAGAACTGCCTCAACCACTACTTACTGTAGAATATCTCAAAGCTTTCCAGGATGTACAGAGTAGGTATAAAATCTGTTAAGATTTAGACCACTGTAGGGTCTCATGCTCTGCATTCAGGATGGGCACATCTGAACAGTTCTGGAAGATGCTTCCACTTTGATCTGTGATGTAGGATAATCAAGCTACTGATTTTTCTGGGTGTTATTTAATCTTCAGTGGCATGTGTCTTGTACCCACATGGTCTCAATCCACAGAAAGCACTTTGATCCAGCAGGAGCTTCTCTAAGCAGAACAGTGAGCAAGGACATTTCCAGCAATTTCCTGTGCACTACCCCCAAGAGGAGGCATTCTCAACCTTTTGTTTTTGGTTGTGGTCATAAACACAATATGAAAGAAATATGAAATGAATCAGGATTGCATAAGTTGCATAACGAACCTTATTAGGTAGTATGTAAAGAGCTGTTTGCAGTTTGGGAGTCATATGAGAATACGGGATCATATGAGAATGGCTGTTTTAGAGAGATTTAGATGCCCCCCCTCTCTGCTGACTCTTTTGAGTGTGATTTGGGGAGGGTTGTGGAGGGACGAAGGAGAATTGTCCATAATCTGTTTTCCTCATTCTGCTAACAGAAAGCACTGCAGATCCATTTTTTGGTTTATTTCTCTAATATAGAGGCAACATTATTTATTTATTGCATTTAAAGTATTTTTACCCAGGCTTTCTCCTTAAAAAGGACCTAAAGCAGCTTGTATCATTAAAAGATAATATTTAAAGCTAACAGCAATAATTTGCAAATACTAAAAAGGTTCAGCAGTAATTTGCAAATACTAAAAAGGATCAAACAAATATTACGTCAAAATGATTTTTAAAAAGCAACACCAAAAATACATTAAAAGCAATAAAGCACAACAATCCATTTTAAAATCTCACTTGGGCATCCATCACTGAGCAAAGGTTGCCTGAACAGAAAGGTCTTTGCTTGCTTGCAGAAGAAGTATAGCAAAGATGGGGCCAGCTTGGCCTTCTGTGGGCCAGAGTTTCAACGTCTGGGAGCAGTGACGGAGAAAGCCCTCTCCTGTGTACCCACCAAGTATACCCGTGAAGTAGGTTGAAACTGAGAGAAATGCCTCCCTTAATGTTCTTAACATCCGAGCAGGTTCATAATGGGAGACATAGTCCTTGAGCCCAAGTTGTTTAGGGCTTTATAGGTTAGAACCAGTACTTTAAATTGTGCCCAGAAATGGATTGGCAGCCAGTGGAGCTGCTGTAACAAGGGCCTTATGTGATCCCTGTGACCAGCTCCAGTTAGTAATCTGGCTGCTGCATTTTGGGCCCACTGTAGCTTCCAGAGACAGCCCCAGATAGAGCACATTACAGTAATCCAATCGGGATGTAATTAAGGCATGTGTCACTGTGGCCAGATCAGACCTGTCCAGGAATGGTTGCAGCTGGCACACTAATTTTAATTGTACAAATGCACTCCTGGCCAGCTTTGAAACCTAGGCATCCAGGCTCAGAGACAAATCCAGGAACACCCCCAAGCTGTCCACCTGTGTTTTTAGAGGTTCAACAGAGGCTGAATCCCTGTCCTTTGCTCTGCCTTTCAGCTGACCCAGGATCACCTCTGTCATAGCTAGATTACGTTTCAGTTTATTCATCCTCCTCCAGCCTGTTACTGACACCAAACACTGATTTATAGCTGACACGGCTTCCTTGGATTTAGACAGAAAGGAGAAATAGAGTTGGGTGTCATCTGCATGCTGGTGATGCTGAACCCAAAACACCAGGCTATCTCTCCCAGCAGCTTCATGTAGAAGTTAAATAACATAGAAGACAAAGCAAAACCTTGAGGGGACTCCACAAGTCAACAGTCAAGATATTAGACAGGAGTCCCCCAGTGCCACCTTCTGAGTTCTGTGTTCCAGGAAGGATCAGAGCCACTGTAAAAAAGTGTCTGCAATCCTGTCCGAGAGAGAGGGCCCAGAAAGGTACCATAGTCAATGGTATTGAAAGCCACTGAGAGATCCAGCAGAACCAACAGGAGCACACTGCCTCTGTCCAGTTCCCAGCGTAGGTCATCCATGAAGATGACCAAAGATACAAACCTGTGAAGTTATCTACAGAAAGGTCTTTAACTCCCAAACATCTGAAAACAAATGCACTGAATTGTTTTTTATAATACTTATCCTTCAGTAGTCAAATAAATTCTTAATATGGACAGGTGGGCCTCAAACTACCATCAGTTGAGAATGCTCTGGAATTGATCCCCATAAAAATCCATTTAAACTTCAGAGGTAAACAAACCAAAGACATGAACTTGAGGATGACACTTATGAAAAATACAGTGGTGCTCTGCAAGACGATGTTAATTTGTTCCACCGAAATCGCTGTTTAGCGAAAACATGGTCTTGTAAAAAGTGTTTCCCCATTGGAATGCATTGAAATCCGTTTAATGCATTCCAATGGGGAAAATAGTCGTCATTTTGCGAAGATCGTCCATAGGGAAGCCATTTTGTGAAGCGCCGATCAGGTATAAAAATCGCTTTCTTGCGAAGCATCGGTCCCGAAAACACCCGTTTTGTGAAGATTGCCCATAGGGAAGCCATTTTGTGGAGCCGCCGATCAGCTGTAAAAATCATCGTCTTGCGAAGCATCGGTCCCGGGGGGAAAAACCATATTGTGAAGCATGGACCGAAACATTGTATAGTGGAAATCGCCCATAGGAAACACTGTTTTGCGAAGCGCAATGGCGATCACAAAACCTCGCTGTTGTGCGGATTCGTCGTTTTGCAGGGTAATCGTCTAGCGAGGTACCACTGTATCTTGTTTTATAAATATTCATTCAGCATTTATTTTTTAAGTTCCCCCAGTTAGTCCAGGAAAGATGAAGACTGATTGATTTATACAAACAGTTGTTCAGACAATTTCAACTAGAAGGTTTGGATTGCTCTGGGGCACTTATAAATGTTCACAAACTAGACTAGGTTCCTGTGAAAATGACAAAAGAATTTAAAGGGTGGTACTGTACTCCTAAGGCTAGTCTATATATTATTTTTCTGATCTGCCTTATTCATGAGTGTTGTGTATTTGCACGAGCAGTATGATATAGAAATGAGTTCACGGATCTTGGTGAGATCTGTTATGTGTGAAATTTTCCCATTAACTGGTACAAGTACACTCTGATTATGTGTGTAGCCTTTGGTATTTCAAGTATGCATACTTTCTGCTATGATGACCACTGTAGGTTATAAATAAAAACATTAAAGAGAATATCTGCTGAGAGGATTCCAAGCTGCTGAATGTGGCTGATAACAGTATTGCTGCTGGTTCAAAATGATAGGAATCCTGCACGGAATTGGGACTTTTGGATGAGGGCAAACAAATTATTTGGTGTGCACCAATATTAAAGGTTTACTCAACAAAGAATGTCGCAGTTCAGTGACCGTCATAAACTTCTTTCCTGTTCGTATTCATAAATAACAGTGGACTCACCAGGGAAAGAGTTATCTGTAATTTATGAAATGTTGTTACATTAAGAAACAAGAGTTGTATGAAAAACAAAAACAAAAGGAAGCCACTGTTAGTATTGAAATCCTTATGAATCTCAGGTGACAAAATATCTGAAGTCAAAGTGGAACATCTGCCAGTCCTTTGTCATGCTTTTGAATCTTGCATTACCAATTAATGCTATTGGTTATATCAAACTGAATGCACTAATGGCAAAATGCAAAATTATACAAAAGCTCACTCTTGCATTTTTCATTGACAGAACTTCCAACAAAGAAGCATCAGCTGCAGGCACTGAATCTTTTGGTCCTCCTTCTCCCAGAGGGAAACAGAGATACTTTGAAGGTTGTATTGTTATGTCATTTTAAATAACTGCTGTTACAAAATGCCACCCCCCTTAATTCTTTTCTGTAAGTCTTCCCCACACTCTATCACCCATCATCACCAATTTGCCTTTCAAAAGGGACCACTTAGGCTCCCCATAAATGTGATGTGATGGTTGCTGAACACGTGGTTCTTGCAAAACCCTGAGAACAAATAAATAAAATTTTGCGCAGTCTAAAAGGGAAAAATGATTGGTTTGAAACAGTGCCCTGGACTGCCAGAAAGACAAACAAGTGAGTCCTAGATCAAATCAAGCCTGAACAATCTCTGAAGGCAAAAATGATGAAACTGAGGCTGTCCGTGTTCAAGCACCTCATGAGAAGCAGGATTCCCTGGAAAAGACAGTACAGTGGTCCCTCACTAGACAATGATAATCCGTTCCACTGACATCGCTATTTAGTGAAATCATTGTCTTGCGAAAAGCATTTCCCCATTGGAATGCATTGAAACCTGTTTAATGCGTTCTGATGGGGAAGAATCGCGGTTGTCTAGGGAAGATTGGCCATAGGAAAACCGCTTTGCGAACCACCGATCAGCTGTTTAAATCACTGTTTTGCGAAGCTTAGGTCCCGAAAACACCTGTTTTGTGATCACGGAGGGAGCTGTCAAAATTGTTGTCTAGCGAAAATCGGTTTGCGAAGCAGGGACCAAACATTGTCCAGCGAAATTCCCCCATAGGAATCACTGTTTTGCGAATTGCTATAAGCGATCACAAAAAGTCAATGTCTAGCGAAAAAACTGTCATGCGGGGTAACTGTCTAGCGAGGCACCACTGTAATGCTGGGAAAGGTGGAAGGCAGCAGGAAGAGATGGACTGATTACCTGAAGGAAGCCACAGGCATGAATTTACAAGAGTTGAGCAGGGCAGATGAGGACAAGACATACTGGAGATTACTCCTGAGGGTCACCATAGGTCAGAGATGACTTGATGGCACACGACAACAACAGTCTCAAAATGTGGAAGATGCCTGAGCTAGCCAAATGTAGACCGGTATGGTTTAGTACTTAGGGTGAGGTTAGACTGTGTAGCCTCCAGATGTTTTTGCACTGAAACTCTTAACATTTCTCACCATTTAGCTATGCTGGCTTGGGCTAATGGGATTAGTAGTCAAACAACACCTGGAAAGCCACATGTTGAGTTATCCTCTTGGTAATAGATCCAAATTTGAGTCTCTGCTGAGCCATGAAGCTCACTAGATAGCCTTGGGCCAGTCAGCCTGAGGTATCACAGGGTTGTTGTGTGGATAATGGGAGGAGAAGCATATGTACCCTCTCCCTGAGTTCATTGGTGAGGAGATATAAATGTTAACAAGTAAACAAAATCTGTATTTGCCATAGCAATCTTCCCCAGCCTTTATCCACAAAGCTGTTCTAGAAAACTACTCTAGAATAAAGGACCATCTTAGGTTACCCATTTGCCTTTTTCCTGGAAGTAAAAGGAAGTTGGCTTTGATTTTTTGGGGAGCAAAGTGCTTGCCCAGTTTAACCACAATACTTAAAAGTGGAACATAGTTTGTATATGTAGTTCAAGTATCTTTTTGAAGTACTGTATCAGAATGTAGTGTTTTATCTCTTCTGTGATCCTGTGCACAACTACTTTTCAAATGCTGCTTTCATTTTTCAGGCACTGCTTGAGTTTCTTCAAAGGATAATTGATCACCGAGATAAGAACAAAATGAACTTAAAGAATGTTGCCATGGTTATGGCTCCAAACCTCTTCATGTGTCGTGGTTTGGGCTCCAAGACCACAGAACAAAGCGAGTTCGTTATGGCGGCTGGGACAGCAAATGTCATGCGCCTTATGATTAAGTACCAAAACCTTCTTTGGACTGTAAGTGAGCTTATTTATTTGCTTCGCTGTCTTTGAAAAATGGCCTCAAGCAAAGAGCCACAACTAGTTTTCTCCCATAAAAAGTGGATTTCACCCAGGTCTCTTCTAGGAGGACTAAAATGACACAGAGAAACAGGGGTTTGAGGGAAATCTCTTGCTCTCTCAGAACCAACCTGAATGCCTTTATAAAACAAAGTAGGTGGAGTCAATTCAGTGCAAAAACTTTAAAGACTTTTCAAGTTACCATTTTACTGCTAAGTTTATAGTGGGGGGGAATATATAGTTGTATAGTTGTTGGTCTATGGCTGAGCTGGCTGGACCTGCATAAATCAACCCACAACCCACAGATTGGATCAAAAAGACCACAACTTTATTGGTTAGAGCAGCAGTTTCCATGGCTTAAGACTGAGGATGGATCATCAGGAGACCCAAATACATTGGACCCTTGACTTACAGACGGCTTGACTTACAGACTTTTTGAGTTACATACTTCTCTGGGCGCAAAATTTAGGTTTGACTTGCAGACTGAGATTTGACTTACAGACCAGAAAAAAACCAAAATGGAACAAAAACGGCCTGTTACGGGATTAATCGGTTTTCAATGCACTGTAGGTCAATGGAGACTTGACTTACAGACTTTTTGACTTGAGAACCGCCTTCCAATACGGATTAAGTTCTCAAGTCAAGACCCCACTGTACTATCCGGTGTCAACCACCATCTCCTTCAGATGCAACTGTAGGGCCCCAGGAATGGCAGCTCCATGGAGCCCCACACGGGTGTACAGCACCACCCAAAGGGCACGACCGGGCTTCTGGCCCCTGAGCTAGGCCAGGCCGTGGCCCTGCCCACTGGCTCCCTCAAGGGGACTCTACTATAGCCAGGGCGCACAGGTCTCCCACAGACCAATCTTCTACCACCTGGATCCATCCCAATACTCTAAGCCACCTGCCAACAAAATTATGACAATATTACAGAGTCATCAAGAACTCTTCTCCAAAGTATACTTAACACTATTCCTGCTTTTGCAGCCTCTAATACAAAGGATCCCAAGAATCCTACATCATAATGATCCCGAATTGTCACATTCACCACAGCCCCGTGTGTCTATAACACAATAATGATCCTCATAACATTATTGAAAGAAAAGCAAGGGCAGGAGGGAAGGGAAGGGAGCAATGGCTAACAGTTTTTATTTTGCCAAATAAATTGGACATTTTCCATAGAAGTAAATAAATTGCACTTGTCAACCTTAAGTTCTGTTTCAGAAGAAACTTCAGCATATTTATTAGAATAAATATATAAACATGCCACATTCTGTAACTCTAGGCTCCTTTTTTCATATACGTTAATGCTAATTCAAAAGCTCAGGTTTGTCTTTCTGGGGCTTGGTGCATTCAGACAAGGAAGTCATCAAGCTATACATTAGGAATTTCTAACTACAAAGTCTGAAGTTTCAGCACATGATTTTACACACACACACGCACACACACTTTTTTGGCAGTTGTGTGTCATTCTGAACTGCGAGGTTTTCAGCCTCCCCAGCACAGTTTGCTATGTGGATTATATTTTATGTGCAGTTACACGTTTTCATCATAGTTTGGTCATTAGGGTTATTTAAATGTTTCCGGTTAGTTCTTTCAAAAGCTGATATTCATGTTGCTGACAGCACGTTATATGTTTGCTTAGATTCCTACGTTTCTCGTGAACCAAGTAAGAAAGCAAAATGCTGAAAGTCAGAAAAAGGAGAGAAAAGACAGAGCGATGAGAAAGCTGTTAAAAAAAATGGCATATGACCGGGAAAAACACGAGAAGCAAGACAAGAGTGTCAATGATGTAAAATGTGTCACTGAGGTAGGCAAAGCAACAACTTATTCAGTAAATGAAGCATTTGTACATTTTACCATTAAACCACAAACATGTATGGTTAATTCTTTCAGACCTAGTTGATCCCCTTTTATTTTCAGAATTTAAGTGAAAGTTTCATGATCTAAATTTGAGTGTTTACCTCTTAGAAGACAAGGAAATTGAAAGCTGCTCTGTAGAAAGTAAAAGCTCTTATTTCCACTTTTTAATTATTTGATATTTTATACCTCCCTTTCATGGGAGTAATGAAAATATATAGATATAAAATAATGCCGTGAGAAGACAGAAATCTAAAATGCTAAATCATTTAAGCTTTACATGGAATTTAAATGGCTACATTGAAAAGATGAGTCGTAATCCTGTTTTGAAAAACTGGGAGAGCTCAGGCCAGTCAGAGAAGAGACCATTCCATAGTTTAGAAGTAATCCAGGAGAAAGCCTTGTCACGTATTCCTGACTTAATCTCTGCCACCAAAGTGATATTGAAAGCTTTATACAAAATGTTAAATAGCAATACGATTGTAACGGTCAGTCAGTCAGTTTTAAAATATTAGCAGCAGTTTAAAACACAAGCCCTAGAAACACTCATAGAAGCAGCTATAAGAAGCAATAGCAGCAAAAACAAAAGCCGGTTTCCTTTCACTGTACAATATTCCCTGCTAATTCAGTGCTGCTCTTTTCATGTACTTGTTTTGCAGGGAGCAAATGCTGGTTTGTTTGTTCTCAATTGGTTAAATATAGCTAGAGAAAAGTTAATTATATCAAGCCTGTGTTAAGATCAGTGCAACATAAATATGGCAGAGCAGAATATAAATGTGACATGTAGCAGAATACATCCCCAGTACTTGCAGTCTGTAGTGTTCTGAATACAGATTTTGTTTTCATTAGTATACACCCATTTTCAGCTGCAATCATGTTCACAAAATCTCAGTGAATTAGAGACATCTTGTGGAGTGAGGCAAAACTGCACTATTCTGAGGAATATTTTCTCTCTTTTTCTTTAGCCTATTGGCCTCGGGAGGTCAAAGAAAATATAGTGGTGGCAGCCGGGTTAATTGCTGTGCCCTATTCATGTATTGCTGTGCCCTATTCATGTATGTGAAGGGGGTTATGTGCCTAACTTCTGTACTAAAAAGAGTGCGCAACTGAAGGGAGCATAATGCTTCTCCAACTTTTATCAGTTTGTCATTGACACTTCCGGTAGCTAAACAGAGTCTGGGTAAGAGGAAGAGTTGAGGCAGGAGACGGTATGGATTAGAGACTGCTCCTGGACTGAGGCTGAACATCCTCTTCTCTCCACTACTCGTGTCTTGCTTTTGAGATGTTCCTTCGGCTTGTTGGGAAAACTATCCAAAGCACCAGTTTTTGCTAGTCTCACAAATCTTGGAAGCAATGCAGTCACTCAGCATGTTGGTTTCTCCAGAAGCTGGATGCTGTTATCATTCTGGCTTATTATGACATCCAGCGCATGTGCTAAACAATTGCTATGTGACAGGCCCTTCTTACTTCTGTGATACATGAGAAGCCCTGTGGCAGAGTGGTTACATTGCAGTACTGCAGTCAAGCCTCTGCTCATGACCTGAGTTTGATCCTGATGGACTCAGGTAGCCATCTCAGGGTTGGCTCAGCCTTCCATCCTTCTGAGGTTGATAAAATGAGTACCCCACCTTCCTGGGGGTGAATTTTTCATAATTATGTTGTAAACCACCCAGAGACTGTTCTAGCAGGAGGTGCAGAAATTGAAACAACAACAATATTATCAGGCTGTTGTTCAAATCATTTTGATGTCTAGTCTGGTGACCAGAGGCAAACAGAGCTTTGGTACCATTACTATCACAGACCAGAATCTTATTACATGGTTATGGTAGCTTAACTCCTTCATTGTAAATTTCAGTGGCAAATTGCCACAGTTTAAAAATTTAGTGTAAGCTGTTGTGTTTGGTGTGCAGTAACAATTTGCTGTTGTGATTGGCGTACAGTATCAAATGTTTACACTAATATCTTAACTTGTTTCAGTTAGTCACTAAAATAAATGTATGCTGTGAAATTATACCAGTGGGTCTACCAAACAAGGTTCTGCCCACAATATTTAATGTATTGGCATATACCCTGAAGGAGTGCTCTTGCCCTGTGCCTTAGTTCAGTTTTGATGTGATGATGACAGGGGCAATTATGGACATTTTTGTTTACATGACATCCAAACTCTGACTTGTTCCTCTAGCATACCATATCATGAAATGTGAACCAGGCCTGTGTGAGTACCTAATTTGCTTATGGTTTGTTCTCCCTACCTCCCTACCTCAGCTGTTTTGAAGTAGCCAAGCTACTTCTGTTTTTCTTTTTTGTCTCGGAATAGAATAATTAGGGAAATGATATCATAAAACCACCAACATGTATGCTTAGCACGTGCTCTTCTAGTACCCTAATACTTTATTTCACATTATTGGATCTTACCATATGACAGGCCAGGCAAATAGTTAGGAGTTGTAAAGGTTATCTGTGGGTTAATATTTTCATCAAATATTTTATTGCAGATGCTGGATTCTTTTTTAAAAAAATAAATATCTTTAAAGAAAAGCCCACTTATAATTTAATAAGCAAATGAGGTTTTTATTTCTTTTCTAGTATGGATTTTATTCACATGTTAATATGATAGTTGAAATGCCTGGTCCATGATGTCTTGGATGTGGTGGCAAACATTTACCCATTTACCACACATCCGCCAGCGCTGCCAAAAAGACTGGGGAATGTGTAAGCACTTTGGTAAAGCATATAGAAAAAGGACAAACGCACCCCTAACAAAACCCACTTCTGCACTTTGTAGAATAATGTGCTTAACTTGAGTATTCACTATGTGATCTGTCCAAATTAATTATTCTGCACTGGGTTTTGAGAAACTTCTCAAAGCCAGCTGCAAGCTGCTGTGTTCCAATTTCATTATTGCTTTGCAGGCTGATGTTCCTCAGGGAGTAATACGGGTTCAAGCGCCTCATCTTTCCAAAGTTTCCATGGCAATCCAGCTGACAGAAGAACTAAAAGCTGGTGATGTTGTTGCCAGATTCCTAAGCCAAAAAAGGTACAAGCTTGCCTGACTTTTTCTCCTAAACGCTTCATTTTTTTAAAAGTGGTGGTTTTGAACTCTACACCAAGAAGAAAAACCTAACTTATTAAATATCTCACTCCCTTGGCTCCTCTTTGTCTTAAAGAAAAAAAGAGAGAAAGAGAAGAAAAAGCTAGCACTTAAAACTTACCAACTGGTGTTTATGACAGTGATATCAGGTTGTCTATAATGAGGCATCCATGAATATACCATAGTATCTTATGAAGGTTATGAATGAACTTGCTACCTGGCTGAAGAATTTTACAAGGAGCATCTAGATGCATAGAGATCCAGTTGGTATATATGTGTGGTGCTAGTGAGAACAGTGAAGTTGGAGATGTATTTTTTCGAGGAAAACTATTTTTGGTATCAACATACTGTGGCCCAATGTTCGGAGGCAAATTATCCCAAGTTGAGAAATCACTGTGGACATTACTAGTTCCGTGCTGAACTGCACAAAGAATGCAGCAGAAAATGTCTACAATACTTCTTTAATTTAAGGCTATTTGCCTGCAAAACGTTATGTTGTTTGTGTTATGATTGTTTGTGTTATATCTAGGCAAGGAGATTTAGACCAGTATGTTTCATATAGGCTGGAGATGACAACTGGATGCCCTATTGTTGTTTTGTACTGTGATTTCCCAGATCCTTGACCATTGAGCTTTGGTGCATTACACATTGGCTGCCAGGTTACTTAGCCCATATATAGATCATTGATTTTTTACAGAGAGCTCTGCATTTAGTTTTTTTTTAGCCCACTGTGTGAGAAGAAGCCATTTCTGTTCACATGGGACTAAGCGCATCCTTGATTTTCACTTGTAGCATCTCAAGGCCACTCCTGAAGGTATCTATCCTTCAGAACATCATTTTGCAAGAGGAAGGCAGAGTTATTCTTCATAGGGTATCTATCCTTCAGAAGCTCATTTTGAAGATGCAAGAGGAAGGCAGAGTTATTCTTCATATCCTCTTTGCAAAGCAGGATGTCTAGATCAAAACGTTTGTTTTCACACAAAAATGATCCTATTCAGTTGTTTTAAAAATATGTAGATTATTACTGGTGGCGCTCTAACCTTGCTTTTGCTGTTCTTGGTGGGTTGTCCTCTTACATGTGGAAAATTCCATTGTTGTTAGTCAAGAACCTGATTTTTCACAGTCCTTAGTCCTGGAAGACTCCATCTCCCAAATAATGGTGGTGTTCTCTGTAGAGCAGAAGCACCACCCTTCATGTGTAGAAATAAGGTAATGGAACTGATGGTGGGGGAGACTGAGTCTAATAAAAACCCCTTCTTCATGTAAATACTCAACATGTTTTTGTTTTTTAAAAATTGAATAGGAATAACATTTCTTCATTATCCCAGTTCAGATACATTATGAATATACAGCTTTGTATCAGGACTCCCACTCTTGAAGCACTGCAAGCATGCAGATATTCTTGGGTCCTTGAGAAATGACCACAACCTTGCCATTTCTTAGAACAGAGAGTTGCAGATGACACCACAACTTCAGTGAATAATTCTCTTTCCACATTAATGCCACAGTCTTTGAAACATAGGTTACATGGACTTCTTAGTGGCCTGCTATCACTACATTTGATATATGTTAGGATAAAAAATTGGATTTTCTCCAGCTATGCCTTCCATTTTTTTTCTTTCAACATTTCAATATAATTTTTCAAGATAGGTAACCTGTAAATCTTCTGAGGTGAAACATCTCCCTGCTATGCCATATTAATTTTTGCTTGTTCCAAAATAAAACAATAGGGACATTTGCTCTCCCCTGCAGAAATTGCACACTCTGTGTCACTGTTTTTCTAAAAAACATTTGCTCTCCCCTGCAGAAATTGAATGCACACTCTGTGTCACTGTTTTTCTAAAATGGATGCAATTGATACAGCAGATTCATTCCTTCAGAAGGAAGGTTACGCTTGTAGTGATATTACATGACTGGTGGCAGGATTAGAGGAAACGTAGCTATGCAGGTGAAGCCATTTGTATTGTTAAGGTATTTGTGACTTGTTTGCACAAATCGTAAGAACTGTTAGAATGTATTCAGCAATGCCAAAATTGTGAGAGATGTCTGAACATTATTTACATCAGTGTAAGAAAAGGTAGAACCTCACAAATGGCGTAAGTTAAGTGACTCAGTTTGAAAATGGACAGCAAGGTTATATATCTTTGTGAGTATGTAAGTTCTTCCAAGTAATTTTTTTTTGCCCTTGTAACTCATTCTAGTATATGGTTCTTCTTTCTGAGATTATTTCAATAAATTAACAGATGGTAGAAAATAATGTTGGTATGCTGGCAATTTTCTGAGCTGTACAGCATTTCCTAAGCTTGTCTAGCAAATGTGTGTAGGTTATTTGATGTAGTTGCTAATCACTATGTTGTATATTTTTTAGTGGAAATGTCCATGCGCTGAAGAAAGAACAGGTGTTTTTATACGAAGTTGGAGGAAATATTGGTAAGGCTCTACATCTAGTGCCAGTTCAGACTCTCGTCATAGTGTGTGGTTATGGCCCCAGTTAACTCAGATATACATGGTGGGGATTGTTTAAATGGATGACTGTATAGAAATCTTTATCTGGATATATAAGGTTTGACTATGCAGTGTAGGGCCATAACTGTGCAGCATTGTTCTGGACCTCTACGTAGGGGCATAGCATGCTGGTTCATGAGCTAGTAGAGGAAAGGAGCAAGTTATAACGGTTGGCCATGGCCATATAGTAGGAGGGCAGAATGTTTGTCCTTCTAGATGTTTCAAACTGTAAAACACCTTGGATCCCAGTTTCTGAGAGAAAGGCAAGTTATAAATCAAATAAATACATAAACCAGTAAGATAAACTCCCATAACCCCCTCGCCTTTGCAAGTGCTGTATGGGGCTTTTAGGAATTGAAACATCTGGAGGGTCCAGAGGTTCTCCACCTTGCCAAGATGAACAGTGAGGAATAAGTGTTGATTGGCTTTTCAGTCAGAACTGATGTGCAGCACAGTTTAGAGAAGGGTGTGAATCTCTCAGCCTCACAGAGAAGCCAAGAACAAATCACTATTCTTCATCGTGGTCTTCTGTGAATGCACACAAAAGGGTTAACCCAGTGCCAGTGTTGGTCCTCTCAGAACATTCTGGAGCTTTAAGAGAAAAGTAACAAGTTTAAGACTACCTATACCGTGCATGCTCCGCCTGCTCCAGCCTCAGTTCCATTTTTCCGCCTAGCGATTTGGAACCTCTCGCTTCGAGCTCTTAATACTTTAGCTTCTGACTGATTTTTTTCTGGAATTTTGACCTTGGATTGCTCTAACTTTGAGAACTTTCTCCCTCCATGACGTGGACTGTTCTCTGGCTCCTCTCTGTTTTGGATTTTCCCTTCATTTTGGCTGCTTTGGACTTTCCCACCTTTTTTCCTGCCCTATTAACGGCTACTAGTAAGACTTTCAGCTTTTATGTCCCCCCTCAGGGCCCTTTAACCATTGTGTTGTGTGCTCTAGGAAGATCCCCCACCAAGACGGGCATGATCGTTGCCTTTTCTGTTTAGGCGAATCGCACATGCTAAGTCTTGTAGGCATTGTAAAGCCTTCACTAAAGCTGCGCTGAAAGCTAGGCAACAGCATCTTAAGTACCACCTGTGGGAATTACTTTGGCTTCTACCAAACCTTCTGATCTGGAAATGGCCTCACCTTCGGCCACCCCTCGATCTGAATCTGAAACTTCCATTCATTCGGTTGTCTCCGAAGTCACAAAACCTCCTAAAAAAAGCAACCTCTTCAAAGAAATCCGCTTTGACGTCAAAGTCTTCTGCTGCTGCTACATCGAAACATGCGAAGCAAGCAAAGGGGAAGGCTCCTGTTAAAACTAAGGAACCTCCCGTTCAACTTCCACCTATTTCTGAGACTTTACCATCACCTATTTTGGAGGATTCGTTGAGAGACCATGAATCCTTGTCGGAGGCAGCCCCATTGCTCCCTCCTCGACAAGTTGAGCCTTCTGTATCGGCTAGCGTTTCATCTCCAACACTGAGTCAGCTTGCTGGAGCTACTGCAGGCTTGACTTCTGCCCCGCACAGCCCAATGCCTCTTGGGCAGGGGTCCTCGGTCTCGTCAGCGTGTTCGAGGTCGAAATCCCCTCGAAAAAAGCGCTTGTTGAAGAGAAAACACCGCTCTTCGACTCGACGTCAATCCAAGCACCGACGTCGACATAGGTCCCCAGATTCTGAGGACTCCGATAGACCAAGGGCTAGTCATCACCATCGATGTTGACGGGACTATAGCTCCTCCAATTCTTCTTCTTCCACATTGACTGATCGATGTCAAAAGCATAAGAAGGTGAAACATGTCTACATTTCTTCTTCTTCTGAGTCTCCATGTCCCCACCGCCGCCATCGACGTCGATGGGTCGACATCGAAGTTTCAAGGGCTCCAATACCACCCCCTGCAGAACCTATTCCATCCACGTCAACAGCCCCTATTTCTTCACAACAAACTCATTTTTTTTAATCTCGACATCGAGAGAATCTCTCACAAAAGGAAGCAAGATGTTTTTTCCTTGGATCCAGACGAGGTTTCTTCGGTAGCATCCTGATTCTGAGCAAAAGCTTCTGTCGCAACCTTGCCAAAGAGACCTGCCTGAGGGTGAGGTTGTTGGCTGTGATACAGGTGACCCACCTGCTTCGTCTCCCTCAGAGGATTTTTCCTCCTATTCTCAGATGCTCTCAAGACTAGCAAGGGTTCTGAAATTGGAAATAGACCAGCCTACACCTCCTGGGGAGGACCTTATTTTTGGTGACATCAGTCAAGAAAGGTCTCCTCCTCCAAGTTTCACCTTTGTCCCAGTAAAATTGGACATTATAAAAGAGTTCTGGGAGCAGCCTTCCACCTCTCCTTCTATTTCTCGTCGTACAGAGAATCTTTATCGTGTTCACGGCAGTGACACGAAATTCTTACTCAAACATCCAATACCGAATTCACTCATTGTGGAAACGAGTTGTACTAAGCCCTCTGGAAAATCACATGTTACTCCCACTAACAAGGAGGGTAAAAAGTTAGAGCTCATTGGAAGAAAAATCTACTCCTTAATTTCTTTGCTCCTACAGATCATCAATTATCAAACTGCCTTAGGAGCTTACCAGAAACAGCTTTGGCTCAAAATTCTGCCTGGTCTCAAAATGACCCCTGAAGACGTTCGGCAGGGTTTTCTAAATTCCTGTGAGGAAGCTCAGACTGTATCCAAACATCAGAGATTGTCCACTAGGCATGCGGCTGAGACTGCTGCCAGGGTTCTTATGTCAGCTGTCACTATTCACAGACATGCATGGCCGAGGTCTGCAGACATCCTAGAGGACGTCAAGACCAAGGTAGAGAACCTTGCCTTTGACGCTACCGGACTATTCATTGAAAAAGCTGACAATCATTTGGAGGACCTCCATAAGGCAAAGAAGACTGCCAAATCTTACTCTATCCAGACATAACCTAGGTGTAAACAATTTCACTGGAGAAGGTCTTACGCTCAATATCAGCAATCTTCACAACAGTACAGACCTTACAAGAACATACCTCAGCAAAGAGCATCTCAGGCTTCTTCCTCCACTCCCAGTTATCGTCCTCCACAATCCCAGCATAGGCAATCCTATAAGCTGCCTGCCAAAAAATCAAAACAGTATCTTTGACTCTGTCATAAACATAAACAAAAATCCCATCACCACACGGCTTCAATCATTTCTGGAAAACTGGTCCGCCATCACAAACGACTCATGGGCATTAAAAATCATCCAATTCGGCTACCGACTGGAATTTATAGAATTTCCTCCCCTAGGGTTCGTAAGTCATACATCTTTCGACCCCGCTTTGGAGGAGGAAGTTCTGTCGCTTCTAGAAAAGGACGCCATTCAACCTGTCCCAATCACAGATCTAAAAAATGGTTTCTGCTCCCGGTACTTCGCCATGCCAAAGAAAGGTGGAGGTATAAGACCTATCCTCAACCTAAGAAACCTAACCACCCACGACGCTTCCAGATGGTAACCTTGGAGTCCATCCTCCCCCTGCTGAAGAAAAACAACTGGTTTGTGGTGGTGGATCTGAAGGATGCATACTTCCATGTGACCATCCATCCAGATCATCGCAAGTACCTTTGATTCAAGGAACCATTTATCAATTCCTAGCCTTGCCCTTCGGACTTTCAACAGCTCCCAGGACATTTACAAAAATCATGGCACCTGTGGCAGATTACCTACGCCTCAAAGGTATCCACATCTACCCTTATATAGACGATTGGCTGGTGGTCTCCCCATCCAGGGCTCAGGCCCTGAAATACACAAAATTCATTCTACGGTTACTGCCAAAGCTAGGACTCACCATCAACACAGAGAAGTCACATCTCGAACCATCCAAGTTAACGCATTACATCGGGGCACGTCTAGATGCCATCAGGGATCAAGTTTTTCTGCCCAAAGATCAGATTCGAACGATACGCAAGGCTCTCAGGAAGTTTTGGCCAAGGGCCCGTGTGAGAGCGAAACATATTTAACACCTGTTAGGCCTTATGGCCTCCATCACTCCGGCTCTGGCACACGCGCATCTCAAACTGCGGTCCCTGCAGTCTTGGTTCCTGGCACTCTTCAATCCCATGATGGACAGCCAGACGAAACGTCTCCAGAGCTTGTAAAACAACTCCAGTGGTGGAACTATCCTCCACATCTGAGGGTGGGCAGACCCTTTCGACCCCTCCAGCTTACTGTGCAAGGTGACAACAGATGCCAGTCCGACAGGATAGGGAGCTCACTGCAGACGGCACAAGGTTCATGCTCTCTGGTCTGCTCAAGAAAGAAACCTCCACATCGTCTGGAGATCATAGCGGTCATCAAGGCTTTCAGAGCTTTCCTTCCCATGGTGCAGAGTCGTGGTGTCCAGTTAGTAACAGACAACACCACGACCATGTACTATATCAACAAACAAGGAGGGACATGCTCAGGATCGCTTCTTTATCTTGCCGTGCATCTGTGGGAGTGGTGCTACCAACACCATGTCTATCCTGTAGCGATTCATGTAGCCACAACAGACAATGTGTTAGCAGACCAACTGAGTCGCCTCACACGTCAAACACACGAGTGGGAAATGAACACCCAGGTTTTCCAGGACCTCTGTCACCTGTGGGGGACGCCATCTGTGGACATCTTCGCCTCTCATCACAATGCAAAGTGTGCCAAGTATGCATCGAGAGCCGGTCTGGGCAAGGACTCGTTGGGGGACGCATTCATGATCCCGTGGAATAAAGGACTCCTTTACATGTTTCCTCCTCTTCCTTTAATACAGAGGTCTCTAGCGAAGCTTCGTTACTCACTTGTGGGGGCGATCTTCATAGCACCATACTGGCCTCGGCAGGTGTGGTTTCCGACGTTAATGAGGATGGCCTCAGAGTTCAAAAGACTGGCAATGTTACCAGATCTCTTGACTCAGGATGCAGGCAGAGTGTTTCACCCAGATGTGGACACTCTGCATCTCACGGCGTGGAGGATCTCCCCGAGATCAAAGAGGTGTTAGATCGGGCAAAGAAACCCTCCACTGCTCTCCTCTATAGTTATAAGTGGAGAAGCTTTTTGAAATTCACTGAGGCCAGGGGTCTTGTTCCATCCCGTGTCTCTTTCTACGTTACTACAATATCTACATTATCTGCTTGATTTCAAGTTATCCCTTTCTACTATTAAAGTTTACCTAGCTGCAATCATTTCTTTCCAACCTAAGGATTCCAATTCATCACGCCTGTTCTCCCATCCTACCGTTAAAGCTTTTCTCAAAGGACTCACTAATCTGAGACCACCAGTTCGACCACCAGTTCCTCAGTGGTCCCTCCAGTTGGTGTTGCATGCCCTTACTTGTCCTCCCTTTGAACCAATGGCTACGTGTGACCTCAAGATGTTATCTCTTA